GGAGCGGCAGCCCGAGTCGGCGGCGCTGGGCGGCCCGGGCCCCGGGCTGTGCTGCTGGGTGTCCGTGTTCTCCTGCCTCAGCCTCGCCTGCTCCTACGTGGGCAGCCTCTACGTCTGGAAGAGCGAGCTGCCCAGGTGCGGGGGCTGCGCGCGCTGCGGGAACCCGCGCCCCCGCGAGGCGGGGCTGTGGGCGAGGCTGGGGCGGGCCGGGGGCGGGGCCGTGCGGACAGGAGGCGGCCGCAGACCCCCCTGAACTTCCTGCCCCTCGGTAGGGACCACCCTGCCGTCATCAAGCGGCGCTTCACCAGTGTCCTGGTGGTGTCCAGTCTCTCGCCCCTCTGCGTGCTGCTCTGGAGGGAACTGACAGGCATCCAGGTGCGATGGAGACAGAGCAAAGGGCCTCGGGGGAGAGAGCTCAGGGGCCTTTTGGGGGAGGGAGCGACACTGATGCCCCCCTTCCTGTGGCTCAGCCAGGCACATCCCTGCTCACCCTGATGGGCTTCAGGCTGGAGGGCATTTTCGCAGCGGCACTGCTGCCCCTGCTGCTGACCATGGTGAGTACTCCTGCTTAAGTTTTCTTTCTCTGACTTTTGTTACTAGAATGATGCGCCTGTCTTTTGTGGCGTTTTTTTTCTTGTCTTGGTCGTGTGGGCTTTTGGCTGATGGGAACAGGAATTGTGAAATGGCTCCGAGGCCCTCACGTATGAATGGGTGGGAAATCCTGGCTGAGAACAGGAAGCTTGAAGTCTCACGAAGCTGCCAAGTGCAAAAATCTGGGCAAGGGCAGTGGATTATGGTGAAAGTCTTTCCTTTGATCTCTCCTGCTTTTTCTGGCCCCAGATCCTTTTCCTGGGCCCACTCATGCAACTCTCTATGGATTGCCCCTGTGACCTGGCAGATGGGCTGAAGGTTGTTCTGGGTGAGTTCTCAAGGCTGAAGGGGAAAGTAGGCACAGGCAGTCCAGGACAATGGGGAAGAGGATCGGTGGTCTGAACATGAGACGTGAGATGTCATTTCTCTGGGTGTGCTTCCTCATCAGTAAAAAGGGAACATATAGCTGGGTGGCCTCTAAGAGTAGGTTACTGATACCCAAGGAGGCCTCTAGGGACCACAGTGGTACTTGGTGTGGACCAGACAGCATTGTCCCCTGCTTCCCCAAATAAGAACTGGTCTTGGTTACATTTTGATATCTCTAGACTTTACTACCAGGATACCCTGCCTCAGCTACTAATACCTTCTTTGTCAGTTGTTTCAAGATGTTGCTTTATGTTGGATATGATAAAGTTCAACTGCCCCCCCCCCCTTGTTCTTAGTATTGGCACCTAACCTGAGTTTGGACAGGATAAAGTTGTGGTTGAGGTGTCTCTGGGGCCTCATTGTTCAGTAGCTAGTCATTGGTTGCTTGTCCTGAATCCCGCCTCTAGCCCCCCGCTCCTGGGCCCGCTGCCTCACAGACATGCGTTGGCTGCGGAACCAAGTGATTGCGCCCCTGACGGAGGAGCTGGTGTTCCGGGCCTGTATGCTGCCCATGTTAGCACCATGCACGGGCCTGGGCCCTGCTGTGTTCACCTGCCCACTCTTCTTTGGAGTTGGTGAGTCTGTCCAATCTGGTCCTGCTAAGATATTCCCAGTGTGAAAGCTGAGAATGGGGCTTGGGGCAGGCCTAGAGGGAAGGCTGCGGGGGAAGTGACATTACATGGTTCTCACCTTCTTCCAAGCCCATTTTCACCACATTATTGAGCAGCTTCGTTTCCGCCAGAGCAGTGTGGGGAGCATCTTTTTGTCTGCAGGTGAGTCCTGGAGAGATTGCCTGGGGCAGTGCTGGGTCAGGGTGTGTGGGAGTGTCCCTGATGGCCACTCTGGCGGAAGAATTGGGAACAGAGGACTATAGTATTGGAGGGGCCACCGACCATGGGAGTTGGGGTACAGAGGACAGCCATAGGTGGTGGGGCAGGCAGCCATTGCCCCAAAGGGGATGGTCTCTGGCTGATGGGCGTGCAGGTGTGGTCACTCGAGGCCTCCCCGTCTCCAGCGTTCCAGTTCTCCTACACAGCTGTCTTCGGTGCCTACACTGCTTTCCTCTTCATCCGCACAGGTTGGTTCTCAGTCTCTCATGTGTCCCCCGGGGCTCAGGGGCCCACAGGAGTGGGTGGGAGAATGGGAGTACTATGTTTGTTCTAGGAGCGACAACAAGGTCTACCATTCCTTGAGACAGGCTGAGCCAGGGATCTGAGAGGTGGAAAGAAGCAGAGGCCATGGTGTGTGGGTGGATGGGTGTGGTCGGTGGATGGGTGTGGCGGGTGGTTGGGTGTGGCGGGTGGGGCATTGACCTCCTGTTTCATGAGATGAGGGTCACTAGCCCTGGCAGGGCTGGAGGAGATGATGGGGCTGCTCTGTGAGCTGCTGTTTCCCCTCCCCAGGACACCTGATCGGGCCCGTTCTCTGCCATTCTTTCTGCAACTACATGGGCTTCCCTGCCGTGTGTGCAGCCCTGGAGCACCCTCAGAGGCGGCCTTTGCTGGCAGGCTATGCTGTTGGTGTGGGACTCTTCCTGCTTCTGCTCCAGCCCCTCACGGACCCCAAGCTCTACGGCAGCCTTCCCCTTTGTGTGCTTTTGGAGCGGGCAGGGGACTCAGAGGCCCACCTGTGCTCCTGACCTATGCTCCTGCATACACTATTACGAACTCTCACGGGCTCCCCAGCCCCTTCCTATCAAGCGGTACTGCAGAGGAGGGGCTGGCTGGGTTCTCCGAGATCTCAGGAATTTTTGTAGGGGATTGAAGCCAGAGCTAGTTGAATCCCAGGGACCAAGAGAAAGGAGCAGATATCCAAAAGGTGCAGCCCCTCTCAAAGGGGGGTTGAGCAGCAGCTGGGAGTGAGGGGACAAGGGGCAAGTCCCAGGAGCTGTGCACTTCTTTCCTCACTTTGGACTGCTGCTTCTCTGAGCTCCTCTGCCCCCTCTGTCTCTGAAAAGCTGCTTGGGGGGTTTTTATTTATAAAACCCTTCACCTGCACCCCCACCCCCACCCCCACCCCCAACTTCCCAGGGCCCCAGGGTTTTCTCATTGTCTTTTTGCATCAGGACTTTGTATTGGGATATTAAAGAGATTTAACTTGGGTAAAATGGCCTTTGGGAATCAGTCTATTTGGGATCTTGGGAGTTTGCCCACCACCTGTCCTGGCTACCATAAATGGTAACCTCTGGGCATTTCAGCCCAGCAGGCAGTTACTTGGAGTAGAGGATGGGTTGGGAGCCTCTGGCTGTTGTAGGCCTGTGGCTTCCTCCTTCCTGAGCCATGCCCCAAGTCCTAGCATAGGTGGGTTTGAGACTGCAGGTAGCAGCTGTGGGTCCAGCTCATCCCGGGGCCTGTGCCTTGGCTTCCAGGGTCAGGGAGTGGGACCCACAGCCCTGAATGTGTTGATGGAGCCTCCATCCTGTGTCTTCTGGGAGGGTGGAGGATTGACTGGGGCCTCCTCAGAACTTATCAGCCTCATTTTACCCAAGAGGAAATATATCTAAAATGGGAGAGTCACTCGGGAGTAGAGGGTTTCCAGTTCTCCACCTCAGACCTCTGCCACTGTGCTGCTGGTCTGATCCCTGGAGGAATCCAGAACCAAGGGCTCAGCACTGAGAATAAGAGGGACTATACCAAGCACTATGGTAAACTCAAGGTTCTTAGGTCCTGGTAGTAGTCTACCTGCTCTTCTTGTTTTAAGGATTTCTGTTCCCCTGGGGCCTTCTTTCTTCCTGATTCTTGAAAGAATGTTACGCTTTTAGGTCTCATTCCAGAATCAAGGAGGTTGTCCTGAGTCCCCTTCCCTGAGGCTGGTGGTTGAAGGAAATGGATGTGCCGTCATTCCCACAACGCCCCCAGGTTGGCTATGACTAAACTAAATTGACATGACTCTAAATAGCAGCACCAAGTCACACACCTGCCTCCTGGAGAGCTTTCTTCTCCCCCAGCTTGGGTAGCAGCTGTTGGGGGCAGAGGGGTGAGGACAGGGCCTGTTTTAGAGGGTACTTTTGGGATCTTGGGGTCCAAAGAGGATAAGGCCCAGGCCCAGAGTACTTGCCCCCCCCCCCCCCCCCCCC